CCCTAAACCCTAGCCCCCAAACCCCTAAACCCTACACCCCTAACCCCCCCCAAAAAAAAACCCGAAAGCTGGACGGAGGCTCCAGCTCCAGCGAGGACGTCGCTTCGCATCGACTCGATGCAGACGGCAGCTTGGTGCAAAGTCGCCGGGAGTCGCTGGCTTTTCGGGTTTTAGGGTTTAGGGTTTAGGGTTTGGATTTAGAGTGTAGGGTTTAGGGTTTAGGATTTAGGGTGTAGGATTTAGGGTTTAGGATATAGGGTGTAGGGTTTAGGATTTAGGGTTTAGAGTGTCGGGTTTGGGCTTCGGGTTTAGAGTGTATGGTTTAGGGTTTAGGATTTAGGGTTTAGGGTTTAGAGTGTAGGGTTTAGTGTAGGATTTAGGGCTTAGGGTTTTGAGTGTACGGTTTTTTGGGCTTTAGAGTGTAGGGTTTAGGGTTTAGGGTTTAGAGTGTAGGGTTTAGGATTGAGGGTTTAGGGTTTAGAGTGTAGGGTGTAGGGTTTAGAGTGTAGGGTTTAGGGTTTAGGATTTAAGGTTTGGGGTTTAGAGTGTAGGGTTTAGGATTTAGGGTTTAGGATTTAGAGTGCAGGGTTTAGGTTTTAGGGTTTGGAGTGTAGGTTTTAGGACTTAGAGTGTAGGGTTTAGGGTTGAGGGTTTAGAGTGTAGGGTGTAGGATTTAGAGTGTAGGGTTTAGGGTTTAGAGTGTAGGGTTTAGGGTTTAGGATTTCGGGTTTAGGGTTTAGAATGTCGGGTTTAGGGTTGACGGTTTACAGTGTAGGGTTTAGGATTTAGAGTGTAGAGTTTAGGGTTTAGAGTGTAGGGTTTAGGGTTTAGAGTGTAGGGTTCAGGGTTCAGGATTTAGGGTTTAGGGTTTAGAGTGTTGGGTTTCGGGTTTAGAGTGTAGGGTTTTTCGGGTTGTTCGGATGTGTTGGGGTTGTAAAGGTGATTCAGGGCGGGTTGGGTGGTTTCTGGAGATTTAGGAGACCTGTGATTGTGGGAAGTAGGTTGAGTTCGGCTGTTGTTAGAGAACCCTATACCCCTAAACCCCTAAACCCCTAAACCCCTAAACCGCTCAACCCCTAAACCCCAAACCCCCTAAACCCCTAAATCCCTAAACCCCTAAACCCCTAGCCCACTAAACCTAAACCCTTAAACCCTAAACTGTTGGAGTTTTAAGTGGTTGAAGGGTTCCACGGGGTCTCTGGCTTTAAAGGGTTTCGGAGGTCGTCGGCTGTGCCGTGTCCGGTTTTCTTGGTTCTTGCGAGGATCCGCGGTTTAGGGTTTAGGGGTTTAGGGGTTTAGGGGTTTAGGCGTTTAGGGGTTTAGGGGTTTAGGGATAAGGGAACCGTAAAGGGAACCTTAATACAGGAACCCTTAAAGGGAACCCTTAAAGGGAACCCTTAAAGGGAACCCTTAAAGGGAACCTTAACAAAGGGATCCTTAAAGGATTCCTTACAGGGACTCATAGGATCGCTCACAAAGGGATCCCTTAAAGGGAACCCTTAAAGGGATCCCTTAAAGGAAACCTTAAAGGGAACCCTTAAAGGGAACCCTTAAAGGGAACCCTTAAAGGGAACCTTAACAAAGGGATCCTTAAAGGATTCCTTACAGGGACTCATGGGATCCCTCAAAGGGAACCTTAAAGGATCCCTTAAAGGAACCCTAAACCCTAAACCCTAAACCCCTAAACCCTAAACCCTAAACCCTAAACCCTAAACCCCAAACCCTAAACCCCTAAACCCTAAACCCAAAGGTGCAGAGGCTGGCCTCCGGCGGGCGGGCGGCGGCGCTGCCGCTCTTGGCGGCGGGAAAGCTGAAGGTTCCGTGGGTTTAGGGCCCTCGGGTTCCACCACCGGGTTTAGGGTTTAGGGTTTAGGGTTTAGGGTTTAGGGTTTAGGGTTTAGGGTTTAGGGTTTAGGGTTTAGGGTTTAGGGTTTAGGGTTTAGGTTTTAGGGCCCTTAGGGTTCAGGGATTAGGGTTCGGGGTTTAGGGTTGGGGTTCAGGGTTTAGAGTTTAGGTCTTAGGGTTTAGGGCTTAGGGCTTAGGTCTTAGGGTTTATAGTAGAAGCCCAAAAGTGGGAAACTCAATGGCCTCCATCCTTAAGAGTCATGTATATTGAATCCCAGCACTATTTGTCCTTAATCCGGTTTCCAACTTTTTGGGGTTTACCAAAGGGTTTTGGGGGTTTAGGGGTTTAGGGGTTTGAGGGTTGAGGGGTTTAGGGTTTAGGGTTTCGGATTTAGGGTTTCAGGGTTCTGGGTGTAAGGTTTAGGGTTTCGAGTTTTGGGTTTAGCCTTAGTTAGAGAACTGAGATAAGGTATATGCCTCCTACATCCCTTGCATAAGGAATGTACTTTAACTTCCTTGACTCAGGAATCTACCGTCAACTACAGAGGGATTCTTGCCTAAACCCTAAACCCTAAACCCTAAACCCTAAACCCTATTCCTCAATTAAGCGTTGTGAAGGCACCCCAGACTTCTGCGAAGTCAACTTTCTTGGGCTCGTTTACGGTTGCTTAGAGATTAGGGTTTGAGGTTTTACGGTTTATGGCTTTCGGGTCATCAGGGTTGCTGAGAGGATCGTGGATTCCTCGTAGACAAGTAGGGCTTTTATGGAACATTTGGGTATCTTAAGCCCTCAGATAAACCTGCCTATGAAGTCCCCTCATCCTTCACGTAGGCGTTCCTTGTATGTGGTTTTCTCAGCAAGTTTTAACAAATAGTGCTGAGCTATTTATTGCATTGCGTAGGGCAGTTTGTGCGATAATCAATCGATCTGGAATCTAGAATTCCGGTTCAAGGGGGTGTCCAGAGACCCCCGTACCCTTACCTAAACCCTAACCCTAAACCCTAAACCTCAAACCCTTACCTAATGAGTTCTTGAAGACTGTATACGGCTTAAGGAGACTTTCATCTCGGGCTCTGCTTGTGGTTGGGGTTTCGCAGTTTTTTTTTTGGAGGGGAGGGGGGGGTTCGGGGCCTAGCCAGTGAGCCCAAACTTTTTTCAGGGTTCTATATTGAGATGTTGTAGGATCTTACTTTTATAATCTATTTTTGTGGGGTTTAGGGTTTAGGTTTAGGGTTATGTGACTTCCGGTTGTACTCGGCCGAACATTCCCAAACTCTGAACTACGGCTGATGATATAAATCCTGCATTACCTTAAGACCCTAAACTATGGGATTTATGGTACATGCCTTGTTATGGGTTTATGCAGGATGTATATCCCAACCCACAAGGCTTCGAAGTAAATGCCTATCACAAGACATCTACTTAAAGGTTCATGGGACTTAGTAACTAGGGTCATAAATAAGGGTAACTAGACTTATAAGTACTTATAACCCCAATTAGAGGGCGTACATATAAGCAGACCCTAAGCCCTAAACCCCAAACCCGTTAAAGGGACCCTAAGTGTACTTACTACGTCCCATGAACCCTAAACCCTAAACCCTAAGCCCTAAACCCAACTTTAAAAAAAGAACCCTAAACCCTAAACCCTAAACCCTAAACCCTAAAGACTCAACCAGACCCCAAGAGCCCCAACACACTTTCCACCTTAAGCCTCAACCCTCAACCCCGAATCCGAAGCCCTAAGCCCTAAAATGCCCCTAAACCCTAAACCCTAAACTGGGGTTTAGGGTTTAGGGTTTAGGGTTTAGGGTTTAGGGTTTAGGGTTTAGGGTTTGGCCCTAAACCCTAAACTGCCCCTGAACTCTAAACCCTAAAACCCTGAAGCTTTGTACCCCGAGAAGACCTAGCGCCCAACGAAGGTGGAAGGTGACTTGTCGCAGCTCGAGGTCCCGTCGTTCCTGATTGTGGGGGGGCGGTCCGAGAGGTCCACAAGGCCTTAGTTTAGGGTGTGTAGGGTTTAGGGTTTAAGGGTTTGGGGCTTCGGGTTTAAGGGCTTGGGGTTTAGGGTTTAGGGTTTAAGGGTTTCGGGTTTGGGATTTAGGGTTTAGGGTTTAGGAACCTTCCGCAAATGCATCGAGCATGGATAAGTCCTTTTTCAGGAACTTTACATCGAAACCATAGTGAGGAGCCCGATCAAAGCAGGCCTTTTCGTTTACAGGTATGGTGCAGGAACCCCCCCAAACCCTAAACCCTAA